ACCCCAGGGTGGTGAAGCAGATATGGAGAGTCTTTGGCCAGGCCCAGGTGGATTTGTTTGCGACTCGCATGACATTGCACTGTCCCCTATGGTTCTCTCTAAGTCATCCAGCTCCACTGGGGCTGGATGCCATGGTACAGACGTGGCCGAGGCTTCGTCTGTACGCCTTTCCCCCGATCGCTCTGCTCCCGGGAGTTCAGGAGAGAGTGCGCTGGGACGGGGTCTGTCTTCTGTTAGTAGCCCCGTTCTGGCCAGGCCGAGTATGGTTCTCGGACCTGATTTCTCTCCTCGACGGCGCTCCGTGGGAGATTCCCGTCAGGAGAGATCTCCTCTCACAGGTGGAGGGTATGATCATCCACCCCTGCCCGGAGCTGTGGAAATTGTGGGTGTGGCCCCTGAGGATTCGTAGCTTCCGGTCTCTCAACCGAGGTTGTTGAGACCATCCTCCAATCCAGAGCTCCATCCACGAGGAAACTGTATGCCTAGAAGTGGAAACTTTTCACTTCTTGGTGCGGAGACCTCCAGCTAGACCCAGTTAACTGCCCGGTTGGTTCAGTGCTGGAGTTCTTGCAGGCCCGTTTCTCCGCAAGGTTGTCCCACTCCACCCTGAAGGTCTACGTGGTGGCTATTGTGGCCTACCACGCCCCTCTTGGTGGCCAGTCAGTGGGCAGACACCCCCTAGTTACACGTTTCCTCCACGGTGCGCTGAGGCTGAGGCCTCCGGTACGATCTCGTGTCCCCACGTCGGACCTGGCTGTGATGCTAGAGGCTCGCTGTAGGCCTCCCTTCAAGCCTATTGAGGAGATCTCGGATCGCCACCTTCCTATCAAAACTACCTTCCTCTGGCGATATCTTCTCTCAAGAGAGGTGGGGATTTGCAGGCCCTTTCAGTGGCCCCTTATTATCTTGACTTTGAGCCCGGTCTGGCCAAAGCGTTTCTGTACCCTCGAGCGGGGTATGTTCCTAAGGTCCCCTCCTCTACACCACGGCCTGTCGTGCTCCAGGCCCTCAGTCCTCGTCCCTTAGGGGATCCAGACCAGCAGAAGCTTAACTGTATGTGTCCAGTGCGAGCACTGGATGCATACGTCCACAGAGCTGCGGTGGATAGTAGATGCCATTTCTTTTTCCTATGAGTCCTCTGATCTCCCTTCGCCTCTTGGGGTCAAGGCTCACTCTACTAGAAGTGTGGCGGCCTCTGAGGCCTTCCTGGCAGGTGTCTCCATGCAGGACATCTGCGACGCCGGGGGATGTCCACGCCCCTGACCTTCGTCAGGTTCTATGACCTAGACATGCAAGCCACTCCTGGCTCCTCTGTTCTCGCGCCTTAGCTGTGCAGTCTTCCACACTAGGCAGAGACTTAGAAGTCTGGCGGCGTGGGCATTCTCGTTCCGCATTTCCGACGCAGCTCGAGTTCCTGAAGAGGAACGTCTCAGGTTACGTATGTAACCCTAGTTCCTCGAGGGAACGAGACGCTGCGTCTCAGTGTCATACTTCCGGCGTCCCTGCCAGCGCTTGCTTCATTCCTAGAAGCTGACGCTGGTCTCACCGCACGTGCTTTTATAGCTCCTGGTCATTACGTCACCCGCCCATGACGTCTCGCCCATCTATTGGTCTGATTACACATGAGGTTCAGAGCCCGTCACACTGAAGGGCGTTCCCCTAACGTTTCCGACGCAGCGTTCCCTCGAGGAACTAGGGTTACATACGTAACCTGAGACGTTTTCTTTTAACCTTAAACTGCATAAACACATTTCATTACACCAAATACACAAAATAATGTTATTTTTAGCAGCATCATATGACTCCTTTTTTTAATTAATTTATTCACATTTCTGAATTTTAAACTCAGTCAAAGCAACTGCAATGTGTTCCTCTAGGGGGCGGTGTACTGCACATCTTAAGCTTTTTCTAAATTTTTACATTTCAATACGTTTTTTCGTCTTATAGTTATGTGAATAATATCAACAATTAAATATTCTTTTAGGAACAAGTATCAAGACACCCTTAGAAATTGAGATAGAAGAGTACATTTATAGGAAATTAATTGATATATTTGTTCACATTTTAATATCATGTGTTGTCTTATAGTTCTGTGAATAAAACCAACATCTACATGTTTGTTTAGGAACAACTAACAAGAAACACCCTTTGAAGTTAAGATAGAAGAGCGTATTTACTTTACATTGATTGATGTATTCATTGACATTTCAATATCATGTGCTGTGTTATAGTTTTGTGAATAAAACCAACATTTAAATGTTCATCTATGAACCAGTAACAAGACACACCCTTTGAAGTTGAGATGGAATACTGTATGTTTTAAAAATTAATGTGTTAACAGATTCAAATTTAATTCAATAGTGTGCATCCTGATTTGTGCTGTTTGTGCTGTTGTGCTATAGTCCTGTGAATAAAACCAACATCTAAATGTTCTTGTATGAACCAGTAATAAGACACACCCCTTATATTTGAGATTTATTTTTTAAGCATTTCACAAGTGAAGCATTTAGATGGAATAATTGTGCTTTTTGCTCTACGTTTTGCACAGATGGTCCCTATCCTGCACTTTTACATTATAAGGTCCATCAGTTACAATACCTTAAGGCAGATTAAAACAAATAAAACACATTGTGTGTTCTCTTCTACATTTGAAAACAATTATAACACATTATGTTTCTTGTCCTTGTGCTAAATCGTTAAAGAACTATTGAAGATTTCCAAGGCTGAATCTCTGAAAAATGTCAAAGGTCGAACCAATTTTATATCGGTTTGTATATCGGTTTGTTTGATCTGTCTAAATTGTAATTTTATTGTAGACATTTCAGTGGCGTCGCTACTTGCGATCAGTTTCCCTGTTGTTGGGGGCATCTGGAGACGCTGTTGCTTTTTGTTCAATTTGTTTTGCCATTTTGGTGTGTGTGTGTGTGTGTTTCTTAGTTTACAGATATTTTCACTCTTCTTTTTTTCCCTTAATTTTTGTGTTTTGATTGGGCGCCTTTATGGTGAAACGTGTGTTTGATTTTTGTGAGTGGTCCTCCACGTGAGTTTGGTTCCATTGCACTCAATTGTTTTGTTTTTGTTTGTTGTACTGTGATTGTTTTAATTTATTGTGTAAGTGTTGGTTTGTCATTGTGAGTTTGATGTTTCTGTTTTTTGGCTTTTGTTTTGTGTTGTAGTAGTAGCAATAACAATTTATTATAGTCGCTATTATTATTGTCTTAGTTATTTTGGTGGATTTAAGTGTTTGTTTCCTGTCTTTGTTGGTCAGTTGTGTGGGTGGGGTGACTCTCCTTATTGTAACCCATCTGTGATAGAGTGACTGTGTCTCTTCAAGTGTATAATCTGATTTTTGCTTGTTACAGGAGCTGAGTGCCTAAGGCAGGGGCGGATTCCTGGTGTTGGTGTTTATTTCACGAGTGCTGGCTGGAGTGTGTGTGTGTGTGTGTGTGTGTGTGTCTGTCTGTCAGGGGCGCATTAATGCACGGGCTTCAAAGGACTGAAGTCTAGGGGCCTACACTGGAAAGGGGGCCCACTGGCTGCAGGGAAATTATATTTTTTGAATAAATATTTATATGGGAGTTTGCAGCAGTGACAACAGCGTTCTGTAAACAAACTCATATACTCATTTTCAGCGACGCCCTGGTTGTAGTAGCCTATGTAGTGAATGGCTCAGTTTAGGTTCCCCCCACACAGTATACAAATTGTAATTCAATTGTATTATTTATATATTACAATTGTAGCTCTTGACAGTTACCTATGGCTATGATTTTATTAATGCAGTTGTCTGATTTTATGGTCTCAGGCATTCAGAAATCACACAAAATAAAAGTAAGCAATTTTACTACGATAAAACCATGGTTAATTTTTGGTAAGGGTTGTTTTGTCCACATGTTTTTGTTGATGAAATTAAACAGGCTGTAGCATTTCTATCGCAAAAAGGTGTCCAAAAAATAAAAAATAAATAAGTGGATATTTGAATTAAATGTTTGGTCAATATTAAACAAGGATTTGATCGTCCTGTAAGTGAAACAACAGCAATTATCAGGCCTTTGGTGTCCTTTGCAGGCATTTGTAATAATGTAAATTGTTTATTTTGTATTACATTATGTATTTTAAGTGTTATTCAATGAATCCATATTTAAACCATACACCTATTGCCTCGTAGTTTTTATATAATACAGTTTAAGTCATGGAAACTAGAATATTAAGTCAGATGCGTTGTTGGTGGTGGTGAAATTATTACCGACATTAAAACACGTTACTAATGTCAACAGTCAAAAAAGTTTCACAGGATTATGAACGTAACGTTAGTTACGTGTAAGGGTGTAGGAAGCACAGATCATGGCATCAGTGATACTGTTCTGACCCAAGATCTGCCTGCACACAGCAGGACTCGTGATGGGGATGCCTGTTTGCTGTAGGATCAGAGGGCTTGCTAAAAAAGAGAGCGAGAAAAAAACAACAGACAGGTTGTTCAGAGTCATGTGAGCAACTAATATCCAATAGTATTTCTTGTAGTTCATCTTTGTTTTACAGATGACTTACTTGTGGTGGCAGTCCTACCGCAGCCAGTGGTGAAGCAGCAGGTTCCAGGCAGAATGTTGATGGTTGATGGAGCCAGACATACAGGAGAGATACGGGGAGTCAGTGTGACTGGAGACGACAGTTTCAGCAGAGCAATGTCATTGTTGATAGTCGTGCTGCTGTACACGTTACTAATGTCAACAGTCAAAAAAGTTTCACAGGATTATGAACGTAACGTTAGTTACGTGTAAGGGTGTAGGAAGCACAGATCATGGCATCAGTGATACTGTTCTGACCCAAGATCTGCCTGCACACAGCAGGACTCGTGATGGGGATGCCTGTTTGCTGTAGGATCAGAGGGCTTGCTAAAAAAGAGAGCGAGAAAAAAACAACAGACAGGTTGTTCAGAGTCATGTGAGCAACTAATATCCAATAGTATTTCTTGTAGTTCATCTTTGTTTTACAGATGACTTACTTGTGGTGGCAGTCCTACCGCAGCCAGTGGTGAAGCAGCAGGTTCCAGGCAGAATGTTGATGGTTGATGGAGCCAGACATACAGGAGAGATACGGGGAGTCAGTGTGACTGGAGACGACAGTTTCAGCAGAGCAATGTCATTGTTGATAGTCATGCTGCTGTTACTAGTGTAACTGTTACTGACTTTATAAAAGATCATCTAAGATACAAACATTCTTCATTTCTGTTGTCATTTTAACAGAAAACACTATCTTATTTTGTTATTCCTCTCTGAAATCATTAAATAATGTTACCTTGGAAACTAGTTTGACCTGGATGGGTTCAACATTGGAGCCACGATCATGTTCTCCAAGAATGACAGCCTCTATGATAGCCGACCCTAAAAAGAGAGATAAAGATAAAATGAACATATAAATGACCAATAGAAAGCTGACAGAGCATCCATTAACCACTATTGTATGTGATGTTTGTCAGATTGAAGACTCTTACACGACAGCAGTGGACAGCAGTGAGAACCCAGTTCTGGTTGATCAGGGATCCTCCACAGAAGTGGAAACCACTAGGCAGCTGTTTCAAAGGAAAAAGCATTGAAAACATAAAATGTACTCTTTAAGCAAAGTAGACAAATATGAGTTTGAAAAACAGTAGAAAATGACAATTCACAGCTACCTGGAGAGAAACCTGCCAGGGTCAAGAACCAGAGATGGCATTTTGTCCGTTCACAATCCTGCTGCCGATCGTCTGTGGCTTAATCGCAGGCACTCCACAACCTGTTATTACAGAATGTAACACATTGTTCTTGAGACAAGAATGAGACAGGAAGCTCTTAAGGCAGGTTTTCCATTTTCTATATTTGCCCATCATTATTCTTGCAAACTTCTAAAGAAGACACTTACTCAGAGCAGAGGCCACCAGAGCAAAGCAGGTGATGGAGAAGATGGTGAAGGTCATGATGTGTGATGGACTGTATCTCACTGATGTATCTGTAGGTCATCTCTCTTGCTTTTATATAATTTACAGCAGCTGAAAAATCTGAGATGTGATAGAGGTCCATCCCATCAGCTCCAATGATCTCATAGCTGAGGAATGTTTAGATCTGTTATCACTGGAGACAACTGCATCTTCATTGTCCAGAGCTGGTCTCTTACGTGCAAAGAGGATGAATTCTCCATTCTTGTGTTTATGGCTTCTGTCTATTTCCTTGAGAAGCATCATACTTTTTCGATGGGAAACATTTTTGTTGATGCTGAACAGGAAGAGATTGAAAGTGTCAGTTATGAGAAATGCACTAAAGTGAAAGTAAAAGTTCTAATATCAGTTTATAACAGCAGTTTAGATCAAACAAGCAAAGTAGTTCTTATAGGACATCTTATCATAGCCACTGAAAAGAGATGGCATCAAGGCAACCATTTTCTCTCAACATATTATTTTAGCTGTATTTTACTTTAACTGCACTCCTCAGCAACGTCACATGCATTTCTGGCATTATTTTCTAGAAAGCACTATATTACAGTAAACTCTATTAAGCTATAAAGTTTTTCTTATTTATTTTTGTATTAATGCAAAATTAAAATAATGCATTGTTTATTCATTTGCTTGTAATTTATTTATTTATTTTTTAATATAATTGATTTTGGAAAGTTACTTTTTTACAGTTGCAGTTAAAAATAATGCATGAGTGAATGAATTCAACGCTAGCTGTTTAGACTTTATTTTGATTTAATGAGGTTTAACATTTTAAAGTATGTGTACAATATAAAGCATTGGGATACGTTTGGACACAATATTGGGAAATCTTTTCATAGGGTTTCTCAAGAACAACAAAATAGAACAAGTGAAGCACTTCAAATTGCTTCATTTTTTTTTTTTTCAATCAAACTTCTAAATGTGATTCTTTCTTTTAAAGGAAACTGATTTTAATCATGTCTCTTACTTGAGATTCATGTCTTAGCAGAACAATGTTTACCAAAAAAATGTTCATCCTCAAACCCACAAAAATGTATCTTCCTCATCATAGCTAAACATTTAAACACACGTGGCTCAGCTGGATTGCATAAGATGCATGAGGTCATTTCACAGAGGCAGATCTTTAAAGCTACATTCCTGCCCAGTCTGAGACAATAACAGGCTACTGACCAGACAAACTATTGAATTCAAGAACACAAACTGTCCAGGAGCAGACTACACTAGCATCCATTAAACATCTACTACCCAATTACATAAAAATCAAGTTTCAAAAGTTCAGGTTACTGTGTTTAGTCATCTTGGTGAGAAATCAAACTGTATCCAAATCTGATCAAACCACATTGTTTAGAGCTAGATGAGCTGGATTATCTTGCTGGTTTTTGGTGGTTTGCAGAACTAAGATAAACGTGGTAAATATAACAATGTTTTGAAAGCAGTTTCCTTTAGGAGAAAGAATTGTGTTCAGAAGTTTGATTGAAAGAAATGAGGAAGAAGGGGTTTTCACAAGTTGATAATGTAAAGCCTACTTCACTTGTATTTTGTTGTTCTTGTAAAACATTTAAACAACACTTCCCAGTATTGTGTACAAACATATCCCGATGCTTTTTTATTGTACACAGATTTATGTATATATGATATAATTTTTCTTTTTTTCTTTTTAATTTTATAATAAAGTCTAAATAGGCAGCTTTTAATTCAGCTGTGAATTCACTCATGCATTATTTTTAACTGCAACTGTAGAAAACAACAGCAACTTTCCAACATTAATTCTGTTCCTAAACAAACAATTACAATAAGCAAATTACTAAACAGTGTTTTATTTTAATTTTGTATTAGTAGAAAATGAATAAGTAAAACTTGATAGCTTAAGAGTTTACTGTACTATAGTGTTTTCTAGAAAACATTACTAGAAATTCATGTAACGTTGCTGAGGAGTGCAGTTACAATAAAATATAGATAAATAAATATGTTGAGAGAAAATGGTTGACTTGATGCCATCTCTTTGTTAGCTTCAGTGCAGCTTTCATAACTGACAATTTCACTCTCTTCCTGTTCAGCATCACTGACTTGAATTAATTAAATGTCACAACATCAACAACAAACATTTTTTCCATCGAAAACATTTCATAACAAACAACGACATAAGTGAAAGTATGATTCTTCTCAAGGAAATAGACAGAAGCCACAAACACCTTCTCGAGGTCAAAGAATGCAGAATGCAGAATACAAACATTCCTCAGCTATGAGTTCGTTAGAGCTGATGGGATGGGCCTCCATCATGTCCCAGATGCTGAAAATTATCAACTACATATTTGTACATTTCATGTTTTCAATGCTTATACCTTTGAAACAGCTGCCCAATTCACTTTATCTTAAAGGGGTCATATGATGCGATTTCAGTTTTTCCTTTCTCTTTGGAGTGTTACAAGCTCTTGGTGCATAAAGAAGATCTGTAAAGTTGCAAAGACTAAAGTCTCAAAAAGAGATATAATCAACTTCGCGCTGTGGATTGCCAGATCGGCTTTCACCATGGACGAAGCGGAGTCCAGCCCGGGGTCGTTACGTGGTTGCCTCAAGCCTGCCGGACGCTCCTTCGTCGAATCTGCCGGCCGTGCCGTTCTCAAGTCCGCCCGCCGCCGCTCACTCAAGCCGGCCTCCGCTCACTCTAGGCTGCCGGCCGCTGCTCACTCTAGCCCGCCGTGTGTTTCGTTGTGAAAGCGAAACTACTTTGTTTGGCCTTCCAAAAGAGGACACGACTAGAAATCAGTGGTTAAGTTGTATTTACAACACTGTTCCAGAACACTTCAACCCAATTATTCAGATGTGTGCAGCGCATTTTTTGGAGGATTGTTTCCTGATCCTGGTAGAGTAGACTACAATGCCGGCTGTTCTGACTCACAGACTGTAAGTACGTTTTTTATATTTAAAGAATTTGCCACTGATTATTCAAACGTGAGTTTTGAGCAGTGTAGAGTAGCACTTGTTGTTTGTCATTTCTCCAATCACAAATGCAGACATGGTTTTATGTTTACGTGGCGCGATACAACGCAATGCGTAAAAAGACAGTATAAGTCATTATAATCTGTAATTATGTCCTAAAATAAAAACTTTTATAATGGGTTTTAATGTTTTTGTCTCATTGCTCCGGCCGGACAGGGCATCACAATATGGTAAGGGGCGTAACATTTCCGTCACACGCTTAAGGTAGTCGGTCAATCAGAACGCACTGGATAGCTGGCCAATCAGAGCACACCTCGCTTTTCAGACCGATGAGCTTTGTAAAAATCGATGCGTTTCAGAAAGGTGGGGCATAGAGGAGAAACAATAAGGTACAGTATGTGGAAAATAATGTTTTTTTTAACCTTAAACCACATAAAAACATTTCATTACACCAAATACACAAAATAATCTTCTTTTTAGCAACAACATATGACCCCTTTAATCTCTTTTTTTTGGGAGAACATGATCGTGGCTCCAATGTTGAACCCTTCCAGGTCAAACTAGTTTCCAAGGTAACAATGTTTAATGATTTCAGACATGAATAACAAATAGTGTTTTTATAAACAATACAAGTACTGAATATCATTCTTTAATCAAAATTGAATCACTGAGGTCATCCATATTACTTCTAAAAGATGCCAAAATATTTTTTTGTTCATTCATGCACTGAAAATTCAGCATAGGACAGAAAACATCATATTATAAACTTTTTTAAAAAAGCATGAAAGGGTTAAAATGACAACTGAAATGAAGAATGCTTGTATCTTAGATGATATTTTATAAAGTTTACTGTCACTAGTAACTGTTCATCCATATTTTCTGTATATGCAGGTCATCACCCAACCACTCTACAGCATCACGACTATCAACAATGACATTGCTCTGCTGAAACTGTCATCTCCTGTCACATTCACTCCCCGTATCTCTCCTGTATGTCTGGCTCCATCAACCATCAGCATCCTGCCTGGAACCCGCTGCTTCACCACTGGCTGGGGCCAAACTGCCACCACAAGTACGTCACCTCTAAAACAAATATGAACTGCAGGAATTACTGTTGTGTGTTACTTAGTCGCATGACTGAACAGCTTTCTCTCTCTCTCTCTCTCTTTTATCGAGCCCTATGATCCTGCAGGAAACACGCATCCCCATCACAAGTCCTGCTGTGTGCAGGCAGATCTGGGGTAAGAGCATTATCACTGATGCCATGATCTGTGCTGGAGGATCTGGATCATCATCTTGCCAGGTATATGAAGACAGATCAAGACAAACACATTACCGTATCAGTGTTGCTGCTGTTTAATCTCAAATGTGTGTTTTCCACAGGGTGATTCTGGTGGTCCTCTGGTGTGTGAGCATTCAGGGGTCTGGACTCTGGTGGGCTCTGTGTCCTGGGGAAGAAGCTCTTGTGACACCCGTTTCCCTGCCGTCTATGCCCGCATCTCCCAACTGCGCTCCTGGATCGACACGGCTATCGCTTCCAACTAGTGCAGCAGTCTGAGTATTTACCCTCCAGAGGAGACAAAAGTACATTTTATTTATTAATATGTAATACAGTTTACTCTGCTGGTGGTGTTTTTTCTGAGCTTGAGTCAGTCTGTGGTTCCTGTGATCTGGATGTTACTTCATGTTACTGTTTTCTTGTTCCAGCTGTACAAATATTTTAATAAAAGCTAAATACAAAAAAAATAAGTGTATTGAAGGGTGAAATGAATGATCTGAATAATTAAAAATGTAATGAGAAGTTGCCTTTATCAACATAGTAATGCAGCAAATATATATTTAATTTACTTTAAAAAAATTAAAGGAAAATATTATTTTAATTTGTCATTAAAAAAACTGACTTCCACATTCACAGCAAAAAATGACAGACAACAATGCAGGCAAAGCTCTGCCCCTTTCATCAAGGATGCATCCAGAGGTGACTTGTGTGAACTTGAGGCAGCCAGGTATCCCAGAATGCATTTCAAAATAGTACTGTTATTGTGTCATGAAATGCCGTTCTAAAAGTATTTCAGTTGAGAATGTAGTTGTTTAAAACTCAAATCTGCGGTTATTTATAAATATAGCGCCTATTTGAAAATGTGCTTCAGGCTCCAGGCGATCATCGGGCGCTCAGTGCTCATGTATCCTGATGAAAGGAGCTTATCCTCGGTTAGTTCTTCTAACATTTGCCGCTGGCTCTGGTGTCTCTGTAGTGGTTAAACATGAGGTAAAATTTGTTTTGGGTAAATCTAACAGGCAATCTTTGATCTCATGAATCCATTATTTATTCTAGGTCATATAATTTTAGCTGAGCACAAAGTTATGTTTCATAAATTATTTATTTATAATAATAAGTAATACAATGCTGACTTTGATGCATACATTTGACCAAATTGTTTGCTTTTGTCTCTATTTCCTATTACATAAGTCTCTCATACTTTATACTTATTTATTATAATGGCTATTATTGTTCATTAAAACTGACATTTAACAAAAAAGCCAGAGTTGTGCTTGTCATATTTCATTTTATTATAGGCTATACAGTGAAGATAATCAGAGTATATGTGCACATATTACCTAAACCACCATTTTTGTGAGCCTATTAATATTTTAAATGAAACAGAAAAGAGTCAATGCAGTTTGATATAATATTTAGTTTCACTGTAATGCATGTACGTTCCCTGAACTACATTTTTGTGGCTATTAATATGTTTAAATTAAAACTAAAAGAGGCAGCGGTGTTTGATATCACATTTCGTCGTATTGTAAATGCATACAGTGAGGATAACGGGAGTAGCCAAGGCGAGAAGAGTGACGTTATCAAATACTCTGCAGTTCCATTTGCAGAATTACCGGACTTGCGTTCTCCCATCCTCGGGAGTTCGCACTCCTGAATCGAACTTGTTTAGTCCGAACTGCCAAGGATGCGAGTGTGATGTAGGGATTTTCTTAATATGAACAGACACTGATATCAGCATTCACAAGGTTTGCTAAATCACCCAGCACATGAATCCCATATTCTTGGTTGATTTCCTGTCAGTATAGTAAACTCATCTACTCATGAGATCGAAACTAATTCGATCAGGAGACGACAAAGCTTTCTTGGTATCAAGGACTGAAAGAGTTCATTCACAACCTATAGAAACCCCATGTCTTGGGACCCACCAATGGATGGAACCATTATGTCCAGAACAGGAAAATAGTTAAATAATGCCCTCAGGCAAGCACAGGATATACAGCGTGACGCCACATGACTATCCCATGTTTAACCACCTGCTTCCTGCATGACCGAAACCCTTACTTTCTTGTGTCACAGATAAAGAAACAGAGTGTACACAGACAATCATTAAAAAATCATTGAAAGTATTGGAGCAACTATATTCACAAATAATATGTTTTATGTCTTAAATGTGTGTGATGTGTTATTGAAACATCTTCTTCATATCTTAATCGTTGCTTTCTAACTTTTCTTTTTAGTTAATTACGATTACTGTGTATGCAAAATACCTGTTGTTTGAGTTTGAATGAGAGCTGGTTGTATTCACAAAACATTGGTGTAAATGAATAATTGATATTCAGCATCATTTTCCGGTGATGATAGTTTTATAAGAAGTTCTTTAAAACTTGCAGAAATACTCTCCACAAACAGCATGCGATCCATGCCAACCATGCCACCATCTGATTGGACAGCGACCTGTGGGCTGAACAAAAGTCAGCCTGCTTAAAATGGACACAAAGCCCTCTGGCGCAGTCTTACGCTCGGGCTCGCACTCTCACT